ATCTACAGGTAAACAATCAGGTAAGCTTGGTTTTGTTATGCACAATAGACTAACCGGGCTCTCCCCCATAGATTTCGAAACCAGATTTTTAGCATCGAAGCCTGCAAACTTACCGCTGAGTTGGCGTGGGGCAACCAGGTGAGCTTGAAACAAAATGCCTAATTTCCATTCGGAATTAATTTGTGAGTTAGAACCATGGTTCACAATAATTTTATTGATAAATAGAGTTCTTATCATCACTGTGTCTAAAATTTTACCAACCAATAAGGTACGTCATTAGAAAAGTAGTCTGCGCTAAGTTAGGCATCGAAAATTTTTCTATATTTATGTGTTCAATATCAGTGTATTATAGAGTACCAACAACAGCTGTTCCCGGTGTTTAAAAAGAATATAATGTAATACTCGATCACACACCCACAAATAATACACTCATTCTGTGAAACAAAAATGAAAAGAATTTCCAGTTGGCCTATTGTCATATTATTTTATTAATAAATGATAAAAACGTTTATTTTACTTTTTTTTTTCACCTATATGTATTTGCTGCAGATGTTTGTAATATTTATACTATTTTTCTCATAATGGCTTTGTTTGACACTTTGCAGTCAGAACTACAGAAAGAATGTTTCAAATGTGTTATTGATTTATGACGTCGATGTTTTGTTTTGGTTACCAAGGTTGCTAGGTAACTTAAAAACAATTCATTCATGTATCTTAAGCGATTCCTCTTTTGTGATTGTGACTAAGTATATAAGTAGTAGATGTTAATGATTGCAAATTTAAGATGCATTAAAGTTTAATAAACTAACATTCGAAGAAAAGGAAACTTGTATAAGAAGGCAGGTATTGTGTACTTTATTAATTGCCCGTAAATTCCATTAAAAGTGCAGCCATCTACAGTGGAATTCCTGGCGAAATTATATTTTTTGAATTTCACACAAAGCTATTCAAGGGGTATCTGCGCTAGCAATACCTAGTTTAAAATCGAGTGACTAGAGAGAAGGCAACTAGTCAATACCACCCACCACCAACTCATGGGTTACATGGATTTGACCTTCATTCTTATAATGTATCCACGACCCCGAAGTGTGAAGCGCGATTTCTCTTGAATATTTGGCGGAAACTCAAATCCACAGTGTGGCACACTAATCATTGGGACCCACCTGGAGAACAATTCTTTACCCTATTTTAAACAGCTAAATATTCAATTTATGACTACCGGGGAGCATTTTGTATTTACACTTAGATGTTTTACACAAGCCATTAACTTTTGAAAAATGCCCTACATTCAGGTAGAAACCTAAGAGCATGTAGAATTTACGATAAACAGTTTATTAATAAACTTATTTTGATCTATTCCTTGTGCTTCTGTGTTATATACTCCATGTTAATAGTATTAACAGTACGTGCTTTACAAATGTTATCTGGTTAAAATGGCAATAATCATCTCTTAACTCACAACACTACCGTATTACATTATCTGACATATGATACAAATCAGTTAATTTTCAAGTTTCTTCGGCAAATTCTCAGGTTTTACGTTTATCCGTGTATCAAGAAAAATGACTTACAATATTTTGCAGTCGTGCCTTACATACTTTTATAACCCGAACAAAGTACTGAATAAAAGTTGACAGCAACATCGTAATATAATGTTACATAACTGACATGTGCTTATAATAAAATCGAATACACTATTGACTAATAACATATTTCAAAGGTAATATCCTATATTAAGCTTTTGTAATAGGTTGACAATATCATTGTGACTACGTTTTCAGTTTGGTTGAACAGGAAAAATCCTACATTTCAGTTACCATATATGAGAGAAGTGCATTAGTTAGTTAGTTTTGATCTTCATGCAAAGCTACTCGAAGGCTATCTGCGCTAGCTGTCCCTATTTTAGCAGTGATAGACTAGGGGGAAAGCAGCTGGTCAACATCGCCCATCGCCAACTCTTGGGCTATTCTTTTACCAACGATTTACCATTATTTTATAACACTGCAACGGTGGAAAGGGCGTGCACGTTCGGTGACTGGAATTCGAACCCGCAAATTGCATTTCGAGCGCCCTAACCGTGGAGTACATTAAAATTTTCTTGTTATGATTCACTCAACATTTATAGGGTTAAAATTACTGTTTCCAACTAAGCAGGTAAGGAGCACAGTACACATCTCATAGTTAATTCTTCATAACTACAAAAAATAATTAGTGAAAATTAAAAAGCTTAAACATACAGTAACAGCACATTTGTTGAATGAAACACACGAACGTTTTCATAACTAAAGTCACTAACAATATTAGGATCATCATGGTTGCATACTTTGAAAATATTTTCTCAGACTTCCAACGTCTTTGGCTATTGAATTTGGCGTAAAACTTCTCGAGGGTTATATCTGCACTATCATCTCTAATTTTGAAGTGGTAGACTAGAGGGAAGGCAGCTAGTCAATAGTCAATCACTAAGTCTTGTCAGACCAAACGGTGGGATTTTACCGTTACTCTTATAGCATTATAATTCATTCATCACCCCAAAGTGTAGAACAAATTGTTTTTTGTTTTGTTTTTCAATAATAAGGCATGAACCTTAGATCCATAGTCCGACATGCTAACCACAGGGCCAACGCTTGGCTTTTCCAAAATGGTCCATCATTGGTGGATTAAGCAATGTGATGCATTCTGATCCTGGTGTTGTATTCCATTCTTTGAGAAGAGAGTGGTAGAAAATAAGCATTTTGATTACTTGTCTTGATACAATTTGACGAGTTAAGTGTCCTGCTAAATGGGGAAATTTCTTCCTGAAATAATAATTTCCACAGAAACTTCAGTTGGGGCCAAGACTGGACAGGGTAATTTGAAACAAGTGTTTCAGTCTGAAGCTAGGTATTGAAGCTTATGTTTCTGAAAACATGTGAAAGTTTTCTTGCACCGGAAAAATTAAGTTTAGAAACAATTTTCATCCCGTCAATAAATATCATTCAAATTTCATTACAATCATATAGATAGCATCCTATTTGACACTAGCCAGATAAGGAAGGTTTCTGTAAAGTTTTCCTTTCAGAGATGTGATACGGGTGGAAACTGTGTTTCTGTGTATACAAGCACTTTGCTTTTTTGTTCTAGCTAGTTCTAACATTTTTTTATTGATAGTTTTACTTTTCCCAAGAGGTCATGAAGTGGATACTGTTATCTAATGTTTTTGTGATATCTTACTTTCTCTTTGGTAATGGACAATGTCTGAAGAGATTACTCTGCCAGTGATTTTGTGAATTCAAAAATTATCCTTATAAATACGTTATATTTCCCCTAGTTACATTTCTTGGCACAGAACTTGATAAATACCCTGTCAAAGGAAAAAGTAGTGTTCTAAGCTTCAAAATCTCATGAGTGTCCACAGGATGATGCAGGGGTGGGGGGGACTCACTAGCGCCATCCTGGAATTTCAGAAGAAAATTTATATGAACAATATATTTTAAAAATATATTAGAAAGTAATACTATTTGAATATAAATGATAAAATTAGGTTTACATAAATAAGCCATAATCAGCCAGAGCATCACATTCAAACTTCAAGGCAAATGGCCTGCACTCTGTGATGGCTTGCTTCCACCAGGAATACATTCTATGGACGCTTCTGGTCATTACTGTGACCTGTTCGAAATACAGAGTTGTTTTTACATGCCTGATTGTTATTTGAAAGATCACAAACAGTTCATGTCAAAACTAATAATAAAATATTACAAAAAATACTCCATTCAATTTTAGAATATGTTCTTTCTCTCTTTTTCTTTTTTTTTAAGAGCTCTTGGACTACTCTTTTCTGATTTAGTAATGGAATTTGATCACTACTCTTATAATGCATATCCACAACCTCAAAGTGCAGAGAGTTTTAGAGACAACAGGTCATGTAAAAGTATTCTTGGATTAATAGCTTAAGTATTCTAACTACTATATCATGTCATGCCCAGCATCACCAGAACTTAGCTCAATCCCAAATTAAAAAATACTGAAATGGTTAAGCATGTGAAATTGGTAAAAATTATTTTTGACTTTTTGTGACTGAATAATTTATTCCTTAAATTCTGTAGAACAAAATGGTCATAATGAATGTTTATTATTGAGCAAACTGAATATATTACCTAACTGTACTGTAATTAAATAAATAAAGCCTTTCTAAACTTTCACAAAAACATATATAATAGAAAAATTAATACATTTTCTCAGCTCTTAAATGTGATCATGAACAAAAATGTGTTTGTTTGTTGTTAAGCAAAAAGTTATGCAATGGGCTATCTGTGCTGTGCCCACCACAAGTATCAAAACCTGCTTTTTAGTGTTATAAGCCTTTAGACTTACCACTGAGCCACTGGTGGGTAGAGGCAACAAAAATATAATTGTTTACTAGTTTCTAAATTACAAACTTTGTACTTCATGATACACAAGCATTAACAGGTAAAATTTATGATTGTGATAATTATAATGATAATTAGAAGCATACCATCCTAAAATTACTTTACTCTTGCCATATATTCAAGAAACCCCTGCACAAACCTTATTATTCTGCTCTATAATGTGAACCATTTGTGTTCTGGCTCTTTTGTTTGAGAAAACAAGTTTGAAGTGATTAAATGCTATCAGTTTATAGTTTATTTTAACCTTCTCTTGCTCCTCAACTGATGCAATTTTGTTTTGAAATTCACAGAAGAGAATAAAGTATTATTAAAATACTAAACTTTTTCATGTCAGAGAACCTTTAAAATTTTGTGGATGGGATCACAAGATTGTGGTTGTTTCCAGAGTTTAAAGAAAAATTAATCTACATGTTCAAAACAGCCTAAAGATTTAGGTTTACAATATCAATTGATAGCTTTTTTAGATAAACTTTGAAAAAGTAATTTTATAAATTGAGCTAGCAATTGCAATTTTCAAGATTAACAATATCTATTCATTTGATGGTTTTGCAAAAGTAATTTTAAAAAAAGATAAAAAAGCTAGGGCATAACTTTTAATTGAAGTATTATATATTTTATGACTAACAACATATGAAAATAAACATATACAGTTTCAATAACATAATATTTAGCTTTGATTTCAGTACTATACATTGATTACATGGAGTATTTTTTCTCCTTTATGACTCTGCACAGTTCTTGTATGGACTGTGTAAGCATTGATAATTTTTTCATTCGTTCTTTATGTTGGGCTTCCTGAACCATAAGAGTCCTTTTTCCATGTTCACGCCACTTTTTTCTAAACTCAACAAACCATCCTGGTGTCTGTTCATCACGTCGCCTTTTTCGTCTTTTTCTTGGTGGGGAGCAGGACTGTGAGGGGAGTGTTGTTGACTGAGGAGGTGACTGTAGAGTAGTATCTGGTGGAATGCTACTAGATGTATCGAGTGAAGGGGTCTCAGAACTGAGTGGAAGCTCCAGATATGTTATTTGTGGAACAGATGTCTTCTTATCAAGAAGTTCATCTAACATCTATGAAAAAAAAAATACCAACTAGAAAAATCTGCAGCAAAAATGAGCTAGTATTACAACACTAAAAATCAACATAACAGTTAAGCTATTACTATTACAAGATTGCAATATTAACATGAAAGAGCAAATACTTGCACAATATAAATTTGCAAAATGTATGAATTATTCATTTTGTAATCTACGTTCTATTTATTATGATGTACTTGACTTTCATGTTCCAAACATTCTAGCATAAATAAATGAACTCTACAAATTGAACAAGTGCACTATGAGATCTTAACTTGTACATTTACCATGTTACTATATTTTATTTACTTTGCAAACACAGGTAAATGCAGGTACAACAAAATAACTTTTAAGCTAGTTAAAATAAATGGCCAAGTTTAGAAAAACTTGGACATATTTTATGCTTACATAAGTTATAAAGTCACTGGGTCTTGAAAATAAAATTCTTAGTTGAAATGCTATTATAAATAGTCTTATGACCAGATAGGGGCTAATTTAAAAAATAATCAGCAGCTATATTGTGACTGTTTTATCTCACATAGTGTGTGGTACATCTCTGACACATACTTAACAGTGTTTGATAACTTCACTTTCTTATGTACTACCACCTTCAATCCATTTCAGTAAAATGACTATAATTCTAGTTTTAAGATGTTCTCAGAAATGGGTGTTACATACACAAAAATACTTCCAGTGACTTCCTTCACCTGTCCCTATGGTGCGATCTTTGATTTTCCTGTAGGTGCTTATCATATTAGACCACTTTTTTCTCAAAAGCTTTACAGAAATTGCATAACCATGTTTTTTGAAAACTGCTACAACTTCCTTCCAGACACCTTTTTTCAAAGTTGTTTTATCTTCAAACCTGTGTTGTCGTTGTCTATACTCATTAATTAACAAAAGGGTTGCTGCATATGTCCAAGTAAACCTTTCTGAAAGTAAAATCAATTGTAATTATCATTATGAGATAATAAAGTATAAACTAACGTACATTTACACCCCCATAATACAAAATCCAAACCACCTACCATTTAAGAAGACTTAATTGAACAGATCATTTACTGGCAAACACTGAATTTTAACACTGCTTGTATCTGCAAATTGGGTAAGCTAATGTTGATAGTGGAAGTAGGTTTATTTTTTTGTTTCCTTTTTAGAGCAATATAATTGGCCAAAAAAAGACAATAATTTAGCCTACATTTAGCTTCAGTGGACCACCGGCTGCTCCAAATCGATGTGTCAAAATTGCTGGCAAATGCTTAAATGACTGTCAAAAATTGCAATTTTAATCGAAATGGAACCATTATATTGCAAATGTAAAAAGCCACAGATGTTCAAAATGCTAAGCAGGATCTCTCTGCAGTTATGAATGTAATGGATTATCAATTTCTTTTAAATTGAGTTAATGACATGGGGGAAATTAGCCAAAAAGAGTATTGGCAAGTACTAATAATGAAACAAATAGTACAAGAAAACAACTATGGCCAAATTACAATGAGAATATTGTGAATATCAATAAAGGTGTACATGACAAAAATGATTATATGAATTTTATTGATAATGACATTTTGGCTTTAAATGGAGGTAGTGATGATGATGACAAAAGAAGATGAATACATCATGAAAGAATGCAAAAATGTATATGATACAAGAGATGTTTTTGGAATGGAAGCTTCTTTGATGAGAAATTTATCGGGTCAAAAATTACATGAAAGTGAATGCTATAATTCTACTGATAAAGCAAGTTGTATAATTACATTCAGCAATTCAATTTTAGAGAAAATATATTCTATCTTATACAATGATGCAGACCAATTATTGCTTAATATAAGAAAACAAATTGTAAAAGATAACAGAGTGACCAAAGAAATCATATCCTGTCACAAGTTAAAGAAAAATATAAAGTACATTCAAAACTTTTGCTGCACTCTGTCCAGTGAAGGGTGTTATTAGCTCCATAGTGTGATTCACTACAATATGACAAAGTTTTCTGTTTGTGTAAAATTGGTATAGAAACCCAATAAACTACTTGAAGTTTTAGCTTAATACAGTATCCTGTAAACACATTTCAAATGAAGCTATTTAAAAATGCAGTGCTAGATGTCTAACATTCTTAATATATAGCTAATACCCATTGACACATCAATCTTTGTGTAGTCATATCTTCATCTATACTTAATATTTTGCTATGAAAAAAAGAAATCCTTATAATAAAAAATTTCATTTAGTATAATTTTTCATAATCAAATTTTAAGATCAATTTTTGATTATCCAAACCCTAGTATAAAATGTGACCTAATTTGCCCATATACCAGTTGTTAAAATGTTGTACTCTGATGTGGTATGTATTAAGCATATGAATAAAAAACTGTATACAATTTCATTAATCAAATTTTTAGTACAATATAAATACTTTATATTCATGTAAGTAAACAATAGTTATCCATAAAATGCATTTGAAATAAATTCTTGACTCAAATATCAACAACAATATATGTATTCAGTTATATCAAATGCAAATTCTAGATTTAATATTCTAGTATGCACTTTATACATGGAGGAAGATTTAAATACTTTATAGTAAAAACCAACTCATAAAAAAAAGGATCTCTCTTTTTTCACAATCAAGCTTTCCCTTAAATTCCAAGTTACTTAACTCTCATCTCAAAATAAAAATTATTTAAAATTTTTAACATCTTAAATCAACAGACTGAGATCTAGTTGAGTATAATAATAAAATAAAATTTTCATCATTCATGAAAAGAAAATCATGTTGTTATTGTTTGTGTACTGAAGTATACAAGGTAAATTATGTGTTTTTCAATAAAAATTAATGGTTATGTAGCACCGTTGATTAACTCTTGCTATAATTTTTCATTTATTATATTTGAAAAAAGTATACATATTTGTGTTAATAACAATTACTTAGATAAAAAACTGAGTAGAATTAGAGTTTATAATGAATTTGTTACGCCTAAAACAAAAAAAAGATAAGAAGTTTAACTATTAATTACTACCATCTGTAGAAATAATTACAAGCTTAGATGAGTCTTGTGCATCATAATATATAAATATAAGAATTATAAAATTCTATTTGAAATTTTCATATATATGAAATTTATCATTATTATTAGTTCCTTATAATCCTAAGTAAGTAGAAAACAAACCATAAAATATGTTAAGAGTAATGGTATCCATAAGGAGATTACCTTCGTCCTCATGTCGAAGAGAGTTTGAGGATATATCCTGTGACTTCAAGGGAGATGCAGATGAATACCTTGTGTGTACTTGTGCTAGATCTCTTGTTGAATTAGAAACTTCCTCTGTTGTATTTGATGGCAAAGACACTGTTGTTAAAGTTCTTGTATAGTCTAGCTTTTCAGAAGAAGCAATTGTTTCAACTGTTGTTGTCATCAGGGGAACTGAGGGCAAGGCTGTTTTGAAAATCATCTCTTCGGAGCCACTATTAGGTATTTCACATGTCGTGGACATGAGGGGAATTTTTGTGAAAGGTGCTGCACACACTGTTTCTCCAGAAGTACCAACAGAGGTCTCCGTCAGGTTCACAATAGGAGCTATTTCTAAGGGTGTTGTACATACTGGTACTTCACAAAAGCCAGCAATTGTCTCAGTTGCACTCTTTAGTTTTTCATATTCATTGTATACTTCTATAAAACATGATTTCAAAAAAGAAAGCATTTTTAATACAATATACAAATGTTATTCATATAATGCAAGAACATACATAAACACAAGTTTATAAAGACATCTTTACTATCAAATAAAATTTCATTTAAACAAACAAGAGCATGTTAACATTTTCTTACTCTGAAAATGTATTTCAAATAGATACTCACCTCTCCTCACTCAAAGCTATATCTATCCTGGTCTACCCTCTAAGCATTGATAAAAAAAATTTTGCTACAGTGCACCAGTCTTTGTATCCCACAAGTTTTGTGCTATTTCAGAACATGTGCTGATCATGTGACTACTCTCCACCAATCGTATTGTGCCATCCATAATGGTGCAGCTAGCTCTCTCTACTATTATAGAACAATCCTCACTATCAATAATTGGCAGGTGCAAACCATAAACACTGGCATCTCAGTGGGGAGGAAGGATGAGAAGTGGGCGAGTGGAGGTAAGTACCTATCTGTTGGATATACAAGACTGTTTAGCTTAATAGTTACAATTTAGTTTATTTAGGAATTAATATTTAATAATTATTTAGTTTTCATAACAAGTGTGTTAAAAGTTACTTATTTTAAAAGTAATAGTTATGACAAGTTTGTTACACAACTCTGTGCGGGTCGGGTTGTATGTTGTGTACGCAGTTTGATTGTTGTACTAGGCTTTGGTAATATTGTTGACGTCATCTTACTCAAAGCTTCCAAGTTTTTCTAGTTATGTATAATATTGTTGCTAGTAGAGGGCTAGATAGTTCTAGATTTTTTTGTCACATGTTATAAATACATCTTACTCAAAGCTTCCAAGTTTTTCTAGTTATGTATAATATTGTTGCTAGTAGAGGGCTAGATAGTTCTAGATTTTTTTGTCACATGTTATAAATACATGTAGATACAGCATGTTAAAAAGATAGAAAAAAGTTAGTTAGTGAAAGAAAATGTGAAGTGATTAGCCTTAACAGGTGATTTATATAGTGTGTTTCACAGCTGTATTCTAACAACAGAAATAGGAAAAATAATTTGTCTTGTCAATTGCTTTCTAAAGTAAATGAACCAACATGTGTGGAATTTTGGCAGAAAAAAAACAAGACAATTATCTAAAACTCTGGATACAACCATGGTAACCAACAAGTTAAGTAAAGTTAAGTCAGAAAATGTTAAGTTAGTGAAAGTGAAGTTAGACTGCATGATAGTTAATTTAGCCATAACGGATGATATTTTAAAGTAAGTTTCATAGTTTAATAGAGATAAGAATAATAATTTGTCTTGTCAAAATGTGTTATTAAGTCTGTGTGGACTTTGATGAAAAGGAGATAATTATTTAAAGTTCTGGATACAACTGTGGTAACCCGCATGGTAACTTAAGTGTATTTATTGCAGATTGTGCAGTAACAAACAGAGTAGAGAAACATAATTTTTCTTGTCAATTGGTTTCTAAAGTAATTGAATCAGCCTGTGTGGATTTTTGACAAGAAAAGATAATTATTTAAAATTTTAGATACAACTGTGATATTCTATAGTGTAAAAAAATTTTTTGTACATATGTTTGACTTGTTTTAAATATATTATTTTAAAACAAGTGAATTGTGTGCTATCCATTTATTGTTCAAATTCATTGCTAACAAGTCACAGACACCTACTGTAAAAGAAACCCAGCTTACTTATACTAAAACCCTGACACTATCAGAAATACATTTTCAGAGGAAGAAAATTTTAACTTCCGAAATGATACTACCTCCTCTCACCCAAAGCTAGAATCCCACATTGTCAAGGTGGAGGGTCTGATAAAGGCGCATGAATATCAAATCAAGCAGAGAGAGACTGCAGTGAAAAAACAGGTGTGCTAGTAAATGAAAAGAAAGCACACCAGTGGGGTACAGCACTTGATCTGGAACAGGTTTGCTCTTTGCCCAGCAGTCAGTAAAGTAACACAATTTAGGCAGAACTGAATTGAAAGGCACCACTAATAAGGAGACGTGCAGAACTGAATCGGTGTAGGAAGTGCTCGATAAATATGACATGAATCAGTATGATGACTAACATGGAAAGGCTTCTATTTATGCAACCACTTTCCTTTATACGTATGTGCCAAGGGAAGTGCCATGGGTTACACCAGATTACACCAAGTGAGGTCCATCCAGGGAAAATATTCAATTGAAACGCCTTGTATAAGATATAATAATCAACAAGTGTGGTCTGCCTGGCAAAAACATCCAGGGGAAGCCCCTTGGATATGTAGGATTATGAAAGATATAAATTACTGTTATGAGTGCAATCGTGAGAGTCATCATAACTAGTCCTCTGTCCACATCCATGTCATAACGAGCCATCGTAAGGAACAAGACATAGTACAGAACATAGTGATAGTGAGTCATAGTATGGTACCAGTAAATGAGCGAGAGATAAAAACAAAATAATAGTTTGTGGCTAGAGCATAAGAATCATGAAATGTATTTGAATAGGCAAAGTTCAGTCTGTCTGGTCAAAATAAATCCAGTGGAAGTACCTTGGGTTACATCAGATTATGCCAAGTGTGGTCCATCCAGTGGAAGTACCTTGGGTTACGTCAGATTATGCCAAGTGTGGTCCATTCAGTGGAAGCACCTTGCATAAGAAAAACAAGTGCAGTCTGCCTAGACAAAAACATCTGAGGGAAGTCCCTTGGATACTGAATATTATTGTATAATTTATTTTTTGGTACTGTAATGATTATAACAATTACAGCCCTCTTCTTGCTGAGTGGCTACATATGGGCTAGAAAATGTTATTTTGTTTTTTAAAACCCACCCAGGAGAAAACCTCCATGGTCCACCACTCCAGTGACTGGGAACTGGTAAAGACTTGTGTGCTCCACTAGAATAGAGGAGGAATGACACACTGGAAACAGTGCAATGGGTGTCTGCAATTATCTCTTTTGAAAAGCAGATAGACCCCAATTGTAGGATTCGTGGGACAGTATGGATGGGCAGAAATCCCCATCTGCTCTATTTATGAGGTCTATGAGTGATGGTTCTTTATAAATGAAACTAGTAAGCTTTGGGTGAAAGGTGCACGAGAAAAAAATTTCCACTCAGTAGTTATATCCTGCCTGACAAAAGATCGTAAAGTGAAAGGAAGAAATCGTCGGCTGAATGTAAAACACAAACTCCCTGCGAACTAAACCCTATACTTCCCCAGCAGACATAATCAACCTGGGAACTTGTGTCACAAAAATTGTCAACTGTCGAGGGAATTTCATCATCCACCATAATAAATTTCAAATTCATATAAACAAATTAGAATATGGAAAACAGAAATGTTTCTAAAACAAACAAGTAGAAACAATGGAAATCAAACATGAGAAGGAGAAACTTGAAGTTGAAACTGATATAAATTTGTGATGAAGTATTATCAAAATTTTGTAATCACATGAAGAGCAAATTAAAACACACATTTACACACTAGAATGCCAACTGAGATGGTGAGGATTGTTTTAGAACAGTAGAGGGAGCTAGCTGCACCTGAGATGGAGCACTACGATTGGTGGAGAGTAGTCACATGATCAGCACATTCCAAAATGTTGCAAAACTGATGGAGTATAAGGACTGGTGTATTGTAGGGAATTTTTATTAATCAATGCTTAGAGGGCAGACCAGGATCAAGATAGCTTTGGGTGACAGGAGGAGTACCATTTTGGAATTTACATATATTTAACAAAACATTTAAATTATGTAACCCCACAGACCACAGTACAGATATAAAAATTATCTACAAAATTCTTAAAGTTGTTTGAGAATACGGAAGGTTGAGTAGGTTATATTAAACAAAATTTGAATAAGCAAATCATCAAGTCACATGACAATCACAGTTGAGTTGATACAAGTTCACAGTGGAATAGCATTTATTGGAACCACATTTGTACATTCTTTGGCATTTTGTAGGTAGTGTGATAAAACCAAAAATTTATCAGTTTTGGGAAGGGTATGTAACAGCCCTTTCGAAAACAAAATATTCATCAACTAGTGTTGAAGACATGTTCAAATTGTAAAATTATAATTTTCAACATGGAGATATCCCTTGTACTTAATGGCATTGGAAAACAAAGTGTGGCATCTTGTAAAAGGTGAGATTCCACAGACACAAAAATCAGTAACAAAAGTTATGCACGTACCCCAGGCAACATAATCAAGAAAAAGTTTTTTCCAGAAAATGACACAAGTCGTGTATACAAGTTGCTTCCATGATATATTCAGGAAAAGAAGATCAAAAGTGTATGAACAGCACCTAGCTATAAAAAATGACATCCACTGTTAGTCAACGGGTGATCAAAAGTCAAAAGGTTGTATATGGCATGTTGCAAAACTTTCTTAAAGGGATTCATACTTCATTGCTGGATACTGTGCCAGGAGCAACTTATGGATCAGGAGAATGGATACAAAAGTCAAGATAACTCTGCTTTCCATCAGACAAAAGTTCTAGACCCTTTGTTCCACACAAAAATTCTAGTTTTGTATAGAAACGAGACCAAAAGGATATGGTTTCAAGCAGCTAGAGAATGAAATGTATATTTATGGTGTTCCATACAGAGACATACTGGTCAAGTCACCTGATGCAGCACCAATGGACTTTGGTGCAGTCAGACTACCAAAATGGGCTCTGGAAAACCATTATCCTCATACACTAGGTAGCTTACGAAAAGCTTCAAGGATTAATGGTGTGCTTTGGACATTACCTCCTTATTACAGAGCATTTTGCAATGGAATTTATACTGCAGGGATGCATATTCATCAAATAAAGTATGAATGGTTGTGGAAACATTGACTGTAATGATGCAGTGAAGATCCAAAATTATTTTAATATAATGTACTCATTCATGTGTAATATTTTTGCTCATGTTCAATTAAAAAACATTTCCATTTGAGCAGTAAAAAAATATATTGCTTGACATTCCTAGACTATGTAAATGTATTAAATGAGCAAGTAAGAAAAAAACAAATATGTATACATATTGTTACAACAGCGGAAGTCACGTGATGCTGCTGGCGCATTTGGTGCTGGTAACGTGCTTGAAATTTCTCGAATGATCATGAATTATCGGGTAAGCCCGAGTTTGTTCGAGACGCCCTATTTTTTTAGTATATAAGCCTAGCAGAGAAAGCCTGCGGGATGAATGAAGAGAGTTCCAAGTAATTTACGATTCTGTTTCGAGCTAGTGTGTGAAGTTATCGAGATTGTGAATCGCTGTAATTTATAGTGTGTATTATAAAAGTAGTTAAGTTTAAAGTGATGAGAAACGTACTGATTGTGAAATTACTATGTATTAAAAGTTTGTATCGAGAAAGAATAAACTAGTTTAATCAAGAAAGGACTTGAATAGCTGAAGTTCCTTGGAAAGAATTTCTACCGGGAATTAACAAACAAGCAGATACGTAACAATATATATGATACATGACCAGTTATGAGTGTGAAACATCTTAATTCCCTAAAAGCAACAGCAAATGTTTCCTTAACTATTAGAGATCTAAATTAAGTGTATTTCATGTTTATCAGTTACTTAAAGTATATTTTCACATAACTTCCCTTTTGCAATGCAACACTCACTGCAGAATATGAACTGCTTAATCATTTACACTGTTTAACTAAAAAATCCAAAAATATTAAAATAACAGCTAAAGTTTATTAGGAAATAATCTGGTTTTATAAATTGAAACACTATTATTTAAAACATATGTTCACAAGAAAACGTTTTCCTATTTATTGTACATTTTGTCAGGCTTTTTAAACTTCAGTTATTCATATAGCTAATCAAATTTAAGTACTAGTAAAAACCATAAAGTTATCTCTTACATAACAATTTTTATAACTGGGGTTAATGTGTATTAACACAAAATCCTGAAACAAGTGGATGATAAAAGGTCAACTTACCCATCAACCAATTATAAAGTGTTAAGTCACGTAATATAACTGAGTTATAAGCTCATCCACTAAAGATTAAAAATACTAATTTAACACATGTATTCTCCTCTAATAAATGATTTCATAAATCAACACAACAGAAGTAATTCTGTTGAAGAAGTTTGCATTTAGGCTTACAAATCTTGTATGATTATGAGAATCAAAGAGGCTATTAACTCTTTCAGCATCGGTTCGGTCCCTGGGACCGACCTTGTAACCATTTTGTGCTTGTTATAGTTTTCATGCTATAACCTTTAAATTAGTAAGCGAATGTTAACGAAATTTAGCAGGTTATCAGTAAACATTAAAATGCTTTCATACGCAAGATATCAAATTTTTTTTTATTGAGTCTTAAGGTTTATAAAGCAATGTTTTTCTCATGTCTATTTTTCTTTTTGCATGTTGCCTATCTATCATG